CGCGCTCACGACCAAACCCCCAAGAGTCGCGCTCACGCTTAGGACCCCCCCGCAAATTACTTAGGAATCGGGATCTCGCTGCCCTTCGTGGCCCCGTTGCAGCCCTTCGTGGCCCCCTCGCTTTGTTTCGTGGTCCTCTTGCAGCCCTTCCTGGCCCCCTCGCAAGCATTCGTGGCCCCGTTGCAGTCCTGGCCCCCTCGCTGCCCTTCGCGGCTCCGTTGCAGCCCTTCACGGCCCCCTCGCTGCCCTTCGTTGCCCCGTTGCAACCCTTCGTGGCCCCGTCGCTGCCCTTCGTGGCCCCGTCGGAGCCCTTCGTGGCCCCCTCGCTGCCCTTCGGGGCCCCTCGCTGCCCTTCGTGGCCCCCTCGCTGCCCTTCGTGGCCCTGTTGCAGCCCTTCGTGGCCCCCTCGCTGCCTTTGTGGTCCTGGTGCGCCCCTTCGTGGCCCCCTCGCTGCCCTTCGTGGCCCCCTCGCTGCCCTTCGTGGCCCCTTCCTTCGCTGCCCCATGTGGCCCCGTTGCTGTCCTCACTGGCCCCGTCCTTGCCCTCCGCGGCCCAACATGCGCATGCCCTTCGTGGCCCCCGCTCGTTCGCACCCTTCGTGGCCTCATGTGCATGCCCTTCGGGCCCCCGCTGTCGCCCTTTGTGGCCCCCTCGCTGCCCTACGTGGCACCGCTGCTACCCTCAATGGCCCCGTCGTTGCCTTGTGGCCCCGCATGATCTGCCCTTCGTGGCCCCCGATCGTTCGCGCCCTTCGTGGCCCCACACGCATGCTCTTCGTGGCCCCGCTGTCGCCCTTCGTGGCCCCCTTCCTGCCCTTCGTGGCCCCGATGTCGCTCTCGTTCTCGCTCTCGCTCTCGCTTTCGCTCGTCGTCGTCGTCGTCGTGGTCGGTCCCCTGTCCGTCCCTCTTGGGGTCGGGTTGCCGCCGATCAGCGATGCCGCCGGCCAGGCCGACGGTCCGCGGCCGCCCCGCTGCTTGCGGGGGCCAGGCCTGCAGAGAAGAAATATATACCCCCCAGGAGAGGCACGATCGAAGACGAAGAGGGCAGGTATCGAGGGTTCGGGAAATACGCATTGGCGGACACTCGAGCAGATAAGAGCGAACAGTCTTAAAATGAGTGTTGCTGTTGCTGTTGTTGTTGATCTCTCATTTCTGAGTAATGATTATTGTTGATCCCCCCGTCTGGTGCACATTGCTTTTTCTCGATTGAAATGCCTTTTCCGGGGCTCGCACCCTTTTTTATAAAAAAGAGATAATCTTGAAGGTCAAACTGTGTCGTTGGCCCCCGGGTTACAGCAACAACGGCTCCCGCCTTAGACCTCCTCACAATTTAGCCAGGACCCCCGCTCCCGCCCGAGACGTCCTTGCATTTGATTCAGGAATCGCGCTCTCGCTTGGGACTTCTTCACAATTTAGTCAGGGATCGCTCTCCTGGCGCTCTGGAGTCGCGTTCTCGCTGGAGGCTTGCTTGCAATTAACTGAAGAATAGCGTCCTTGCGGTGGAACTTCTTGTAATTTATTCAAGCGCAGCGCTCCCGACACCCAGGCACCCAGGAGCCGCGCTCACGTTTAGGACTCCCTCACAGATTACCTAAGAATAGGGATCTCGCTGCCCTTCGTGGCCCCGTTGCAGCCCTTCGTGGCCCCTTCGCTTTGTTTCGCGGCCCCGTTGCAGCCCCTCGTGGCCTCCTCGCTGCCCTTCGTGGCCCTGTTGCAGCCCTTCCTGGCCCCCTCGCTTTGTTTCGTGGCACCGTTGTAGCCCTTCGTGGCCCTCTCGCTGCCCTTCGTGGCCCCGTCGCAGCCCTTCGTGGCCACGTTGCAGCCTTTCGCGGCCCCCTCGCTGCCCTTCGTGGCCCCCTCGCTGCTTTTCGTGGCCCCATATATGTATGCCCTTCGTGGCCCCCGCTCGTTCGCGCCCGTGGTAGCCCCATATGTATGCCCTTCGTGGCCCCGCTGTCACCCTTCGTGGCCCCATCGCTGCCCTTCGTGGCCCCGTTGCTGCCCTCAGTGACCCCGTCCTGGCCCTCCGCGGCCCAGTATACGTATGCCCTTCGTGGCACCCGTTCGTTCGCGCCCGTTGAGGTCCCATGTGCATGCCCTTCGTGGCCCCGCTCTCGCCGTTTGTGGCCCCCTCACTGTCCTACGTGGCCCAGTTCCTACCTTCAGTGGCCCCGTCGTTGCCTTCTGTGGCCCCGCATGATCTGCCCTTCGTGGCCCCCGATCGTTCGCGCCCGTCGCGGCCCCATGCGCATGCGCTCCGTGGCCCCGTTGTCGCCCTTTGTGGCCCCCTTCCTGCCCTTCGCAGCCCCGCTGTCGCCCTTCGTGGCCCCCTCGCTGCCCTTCGTGGCACCGTTGCTGCCCACAGTGGCCCCGTCCTTGGCCTCCGCGGCCCAGTATACGTATGCCCTTCGTGGCCCCCGTTCGTTCGCGCCCGTTGTGGTCCCATGTGCATGCCCTTCGTGTCCCCGCTGTCGCCCTTCGTGGCCTACTTCGTGTCCTTGCGGCCCTGCTGTCGTTCTCTCTCGCTCTCGCTCTCGCTCGTCGTCGTCGTCGCCGTCGTCGTCCTCGTCGCCGTCGTCGTCGACGTCGTCGTCGTCGTCGTCGTCGTCGTGGTCGGTCCCCTGTCCGTTCTTCTTGGGGTCGGGTCGACGGTCCGCGGCCGCCCCGCCGATCAGCGCTGCCGCTGGCCAGGCCGACGGTCCGCGGCCGCGTGCCGAGGCCCGGCCTGCAGGGAAGAAAGGTATACCCCCCAAAAGGGGTTCGATCGAAGACGAAGAGGGCGGGTATCGAGGGTTTGGGAAATACGCGTTAGTGGCCACTCGAGCAGATAAAAGCGAACAGTCTTAAAATGATTGCTGTTGTTGCTGTTGTTGGTTGTGGTAGTGGTGGTGGTGTTAGCCGACAAATGGCAACGGCGCCTTGGTTGGGAGCCGTGCTGATGCCACGGGTACTACCATGAGGGCTCTAAGAGGGCCCCGAGAGGCCGACATCGTCGCAGTCCCGTGGACAAACGCACATGTGTAGCATGTTCGCCTTATCGGCCCTAACAGCGTTCTGGACGGCCCAAGACCGCCCCAAGATCGACCCAACAGGCCCCCCGGATCGCCCCGAGACGGCCCAGGAGATCCCGAAGGTGGCCGCAAGGTGGCTGGGGCCCCAAGACGGCCTAGCAGACGCCTAAGAGTGCTCAAGAGGATCCTCGACAACGCCAACGGGCTCCGCAGAGGCCCCGAGGAGGCCCCAAGACGCCCCCCCCCGGGCCCACAGGAGCCCCAAAGGCTTCAGCCTCAGAAGTGCCTCCGGGAAGAAGCTTTCCAAAGTCTTCCCACGAGACCCCAACTGGTACAAAACCCCGGCACGGAGGCGGGATGGACCGAAGGCCACACATATGAACTACCATCACCGTTGACGTCATAACCAGCACCACCATGACAATCGTCAGCCTGGGTACCGCCTTGGCAATCCTCCTCTTCCTCCTTCTCCTCCTGATCACCATCATCCTTATCATCACCCGCATCACCATTACCATCATCATCACCACAATCATCATCATCACTACCATCATCACAACCATCATCACCATCATCATCATCACCACCACCACCATCCTCCTCCTCCTCCTCCTCCTCATCATCATCATCATCATCATCATCATCATCTCCACCACCACCATCATCATCAGCCTCCTCCTCCCCATGCTTTATCCTCATGATGCTTCTCCTCCCCCTTATTGCCAATCATATTCGTCCCACCTCTCGTCCTCCTCCTCATCCGCCCCCTCCTCCTCCTACTCCTCTTTCATCATCATCCCACTCCCCCCGTCATGCCCGACTTCGCCCTCATCATCCCTATCGTTATCAACATCCTCTTTCCCACCATAGTCATCATAATCATCACCACCATCATCACCACCACCATCATCATCATGATCATCATCATCATCATCATCATCATCATCACAATGATGATGATGATGATCATCATCATCACCAAACAACATCACCAAACAACATCACCAGAAAATCATTATATCACCATCATCATCATCATCACCATCACCACCACCACCATCACCATCACCATCACCATCACCAGCACCAGCACCAGCACCAGCACCAGCACCAGCGCCAGCACCACCACCACCATCATGATCATCATCATCAGCATCAGCATCAGCATCATCATCATCATCATCATCATCATCATCATCATCATCATCATCATCATCATCATCATCGTTTCCTTAGCATCGCCTCCTCCTCCTCCAAGTTGTCCTCCTCCTCCCCCTCCCCCTCCTCCCCTCCCCTCTTCCTCCTCCTCTTCCTCCTCCTCCTCCGCCTCCTCCCTCTCCTCCTCCTCTTCTCCTAGACTTCCCTATATTCCTATTCCCCACGGGCAGGGGCGCACACGCGAGAGAGCACAGCGACGATGGACCACTGACGAGATCCTTCGGGAATTGTTCAGGAGCCCTTAGGGAACCCGCAAGAATCCGCAATAGTCCTTCAGGAATCCGCATGAATCCTCAAGAACCCTTCAGGAATCCTTCAATAATGGCAAGAATACTCAATAATCCTTCAGGCTTCCGCCAGGAATCCTCCAGGAAGCCTTCAGGAATCCGTTAGGAATCCGTAAGAATCCTCAAGAATCCATCAGGGTCCCTCAAGAATCCTTCACTGGCGAGATCTTTTCTTCGGATGCTTGCCTTGAGCCATACCAGCAATGGCATGATCTCTGTCAGTAAACCTGCTGGGGGTCTCTGGATTCCTGCAGCCCCCTTCGTGCCGCCTAGCTCTTCAGCCAGGCACGATACTCGAATCCTGGAAAGCTCCGAAACTCATTGTCAGTGCACAGCGCTCTGGACCACGGCGTTGGTCGAGCACTGCAATCAAAGTACACGCAATAGCCGCGCTGACGGCCGTAGCCCGTCCAAGGCAATGACAGCGCGGAGCGAGACTGCAGGCCGAAATGGCCAGGCCAAAATGGCCGCTCGTGCCCCTCAGTTCAGACCTTCGCCTGAAGGGCACTCGAGAGGGGCGCGTCCGAGAGCTTGACACTCATCATCTCCAGCCCTCGGAGCATCGCCGCCTGGTCGAGGAACTTCGTCCCCAGGTCCGCCGGGTTCGACTTCCCGGGAACCTTAGCCAGTTGAAACCGTCTGTCTTTGAGTGCCTTCTGCACCCACAGCGTCGGCGTCTCGAGGTGTCGGACTTTGCCGCAGCCTCGTCGTTGCATGATGCCAAGAGCAGCTGCCGAGTCGCTGCAGATGCGAAGGCTCACGTCCCTGCCGAGGCCCTGGCACAGCGACTGCATGCCGATGGCCCTGCTGGCCGCCCGCACACAGCCGTAGAACTCAGCCTCCCCCGAACTCATGGAGATGGGGATCTGAGTCGTCGATGCCGTAACGATCAGGTGCTGCCCATGTTTGATCACGACCGAACTGGCGCTCCTCCGCGTGATCGGGCAGCCTGCCCAATCGGTGTCCGAATAGATGTCCATCACTGTGGGTGCCCGCTGTCGGCCCCACTTCCAGATGGCCCGCGGCGCCCCGATCAAGAAGCGTCCAGCGCGCTTCAGAAGGCGGAGGTGTCGCTCTGTCGGCCTCTGCATGCCGCGAGCGCACTCCTTGGCCGTGAACTGCACCTCTGGCCGATCGAGCGCCAAGTAGCCCAGCCTCATGCACGCACTGCGGTACTCTGCCGCCTCGTGCTCGTTCAGCTCGCGCTCGACCTCAGGTGTAAGCTTCTGGCTCAGCCCTGGCGTGCTCAATGACTTCGTGGTGCGGGGGTCCATTCCAAGCTGCGCGTGCAAGATCTGCGCGTGCCTGGGATCCGCCTCGTACTCGATGGCCTCGCCCCCTTGGCACCATCGGTCTCGCCAGCGCATTACCCTGTTGAGGCACGTGATCTCCTTTGCGTCGGTAGGCGCCGGCCCGAGCACGCCCCTGTCCTTCACGATGAACTTCGTCTTCAGGGCCTCGCAGATCGACTCCGTCCCGTCCCGAGAGCCCTCGAGCACGAAGTCGTCGCCGTGGTGGAAGAAGCTCACCTGGAGGTCCTTGTGGCAGTACACGCAAGGCGAGAAGGCCGACTGGTCGCAGCCAGCACCGATGACCGTCTCGGCAGTCGTGAGCTCGAAGTTCTGGCCAGCGTCGCGCGTCCCGTAGAGCGCCATCCGCAAGAGCCCACACGTACCGATCTCCTGCGACATCGGATCCTCCTCTGGAAGCTTGATGTCGACCGTCCCCTTGATCTCACAGTGCGGGTGTGCCCGCGAGATGTCCAGGAAGCGCAGCGCGCGGCCCTCGGACGGGTCGCTCGACATCACCATGCTGCAGATGAGCCGGAGGCACTCTAGCGGCGGGGTCGCCGCAAACACCGCGCCGATGTCGTCCCCGGCGATGGTGCTCTGCGCCTTGGTCTCCTGCACGACGAGCCTGGATCTGTAATCCGGCCAATCGGTGTCGCCCTTGTCGAGATCAACCCAGCGCACACTGAGAGGCCTCCGTCCAAGCTCGCGCTGACGGTCCTCCTCCCTCGCGTAGACCCACACGCCAAGCTGCGCCATGAAATCCATCTCCAGGCGCCTCGCGGCCTTCACCCGCGTGGGGTCCAGCGGGAGGCCGGTGAGGTCGTCGTAGAACTCGGTCCTCAGCGTGTCGCGCCACTTCCCGACGAAGTCCTTCAGGCTGATCTCCTCATCGTCCACGTTCGGCCCAGCATCCAGGGCCGAAAGCGTGAGCACCTTCTAGTTGCTAAGGTGACGGCGGAGGCCACGGAGGATGGCGCGGAGGAGCTTGACCGGGTACCTCTCCGCCACACGCATGTTGCGGCCGACGAAGGTGGAATGCTCGTGGCGGCTGCCAATGCCAGTATCATTGGGGCAGCGCTTGCAGACCTCATCCAACACTTCCTTGTTATTACTCATCCACCCTGTCGGCTTCTTGGCGAGCCTGTCGCCGTGCGCGTCCGCAACCACCAGTCGGAACACGCACTGGTCGCCTCGCCCGACCTCGACACCCGGGAGAGCCATCACATCCTTCACGATGTCCAGGTCCCAGCTGTCCGCGCTCCAGGGGTGCTCGTGCAAGAACGTGCGGTCGTGCTTCACCTGCAGCGTGTAGAGCTCCATCACGAACCTCAAGTGCTCGTACCCGATGGCGTAGGCCTCACGCTGCTTCTCCGTGTCCTCATTCAGGTACTTCAGCATGGAGAACGGCGCGCAGCGAGGACTGCCCAAGAGGAAGTACACCTCGAAGTGCTCGATCAGCTCCCGGCACTGTCGCTGCTGCTGGCGGTCGGTCAGGTCCCAGCCAACCCTCAGGTCGAACGAGCCGCCGTGAACCAGACCGAAAAGGGGGGCAAAGCCCACAAGCCTATTCGGGCAGAAGACCTCCATCACGTCGGCCTTGCGCCCGCTGTAGCCGAGAGAGAGCAGGAGGGCACCGATCTCCTCCCGCATGTTGTCGTCGCCGGGGTCGTGTGGTGCCGGAGCCATCGCCACGTCAGCCGCCGCCGCGGCCTCGGGTGCTGGCGGCACCTGCTGAGCTGGGACTGGACCGCCGCTGCCTGACGAGCCGCCCTCTTGATAGACAGGCCCGGCGACGTCAGTGCGATGCCGCTTCCGCTCACGGGCATCCTCGAGCCTCTGCTTTGCCCCCTCGTCGTCCTGCATCGCCTGCTCGATCCGAGCGCGGCGCTCGGCTGAGTGAGCCTGCGCCCGGGCGCCGTTGAGGATCGCGGCGCAGCCGTAGCAGCCCGGGGAGAGCCCGTACTTCGCGATCTCGACGTCCATCCTGATGTAGGCGGCCCGCGGTCCTGCTGGTGGTCGCCCGACTCGGAGAGCCCGGGGCGGGAGGTCCCCAGCCTCGGGGATGGGCGCCAGAGGTCCGCCCAAAGGCGCGACCGGCGCTGGCGCCGGCGCTCGGATCTCGATGGCCACCGGCACCTCGTCCACCTCCACGTCCGTCGGCACCGGCGCCCACGGCATCCCCACGAGGCTGTTCAGCAGGTCCTTGTCGGCCCGCTGCTCGACCGTCAACCGCTTGAAGGTCCTGGCCCGCAGTGCGCCCAACTCCGTGCCAATGTAGACCTCGTCCGTCCGAAGCGTGGGCCCAAGGTAGAGCCCAGCGAGGAACTTGTCCTCGATTCCAGCCTTGCGCTTGCCCCCTGGGAGATACAGGACCTTCTCCGAGAAGCAAGCCTTGTTGAAGGGGCGGCCGTGCCGAAGTTCCCAAGCCGTGCGGCCGTCAGCGCCCCGCCTGCCCAGGTTGATGGACATGGCTGCGAACTCGACCATCCACGGGGTCACTGGGTGCTCGACGCCAATGCTCACGCCGTGGAGGTCGTCCACCTGCGCCCGCACCGTCCCCACCTTGGCCTTGACCTCGCGCACCGCGTGCTCGGCCAGGCTGTTGCCCTGAGAGTCGCCGACCGCGCTCTCCTCGGGCACCGTCTCGATGCCGTACTCCCCCTTGAGCTTGGCCCCGATGCGGGTCTTCAGGGCGACGAGCGGCGCCTCGCCGTCTGAGCGGAAGACGAAGCGCTTGTGGCCAGCCGAAGCCAGCCTCCTGGACCACGACTTTGCCGGCCAGGGATGCTGCGCCCCCTTAGCTGGCACCACCGACGCGTGGAACCAACGCTGCTTCGAATCTTTCCCGATCAGCAGCGGCGTAGCGTCCTCTCGTTCACCGAGGTAGCCGTAGTCGATGCCAACCCTGCGAGCGCTGACTCCTGGTGGTCCTTCGTCTGATGGCCTGCTGACAGGCCTCTGCCGGAGACGCACTCCCGGCACCATGCCCTGTAGGGCTCGTGCAGCACCTCGTGCGCGGCTCGCTCGGCCGCCGTCGGCGCCGCGGGCTCCCTCGCCGGCCGTGCCGGCGGGCCCTCGGCGACCTCCTCGTGAGCCGCGCCTGGCTGGCCGGCTTCACCCTCGGGAGGCTCGTGGCCTGCCACCTCGACCGGGCAGACCTCCGGCACGTGCGGGTCGACGTTCATATCCATCTCGTAGACCTTATTCCTGCGGCAGAACCTGACAACGTCTCCGCTGGTCCTGTGGTACGCGTAGCTAATGTCCTGCCCGCCCTCCGAGTCGAAGACGAGCCGATGGCCAGGGTCGACCATCTCCGCGACGCTCAGCAACGGCTTGCTGATGTCCGCCACCCTGAACTTGGCAGCGCGTGCCTGAGAGGCCCCAGGCATCGTCCCCACGAGGATCTTCTCGCCCTCGTCGTTCACGTAGTGGCCAGAGGCGGTCTTGTACGAGATCGCCTGGCCGCCCTCGTGCACCGGGTAGTCCGTGCACGAGCCACGCGGCAGCACCGATGCCGCCGCACACGAGTCGATGCCCACACGCAAGATGCCATTGAGCTCGACCTCCTCCGCATCCGAGTTGCCGTGGATCATGTTCAGGTCCAGGGCCGCGCCGGTCGCAGAGTCGACCACGTCCGCCTTGTCCGGCCCCGGGTCGTAGATGCTGAGGGAGTGGAGGTTCGCGAACGGGTAGCTGACCTGCTCGTCCGCGTCGTTCAGGTAGAGTGCTGCGACCTGTCGAGAGCTCGCGCCGGACATCGCCGTCGCCTGACTCAGCCTCGTAGTCGCAGCCGTCGAGATAGAGCTGGCCGCCGATGGTACGGTCGTACTCGTCGACTGGGAGGCGTTGATGCGAGCCAGCGTCTGCTCCATGCTCGCCAACGTCCCCCTGTGCTTGCTCGGGCATTCACGCTGAGTGTGGCCGCGACCGCCGCAGCCCCAGCAGAGTGGCCCGAGCTGCTGACCATGTGACTTGCTGCTGGTCTTGCTCTTGCCGTCGGACTTGGACTTGCCCTTGCTGTCGCCCTTGCTCTTGCCCTTGCCACTGGACTTGCTCTTGCCCTTGCCGTCGCCCTTGAACCTGCCCTTGCCGTGACCCTTGGTGAACGCGCTCAGGTCCATGGGCACGGGCACCGGGGCGATGGCGCTCTGGGCACGGCGGATGTCGGTGACCTCACGTCGGAAGTCCTGCCACTCCACCAGCCTGGTCGCATTGAGCAAGAGGTGCTGGCGTAGAGGGCCTTCCTCGAGCTGCCGAAGGACGATGCCGATCCTCATGGAGGCTGTGATGGCCTCGCCGCTCCTCTGCTCGCACCTGAGGAGCTCTCGCTCGAACAGCGCCAGCCGGTCCTCGACATCGCCAGTGAACGAGAAGTTCAGGAGATTCAGCAGCTGCCCCGCGATGCGGGACCTCGCATTCGGTTCGCAGTATTCAACCAGCTTGCGCCAAGCCTGGAAGCCCTCATTCTCGCCAGCATTCACGATCGTCGTCAGGGGATGCTGCCGGCAGAGGAGGAGCAAGATGTAATACAGCTGCTGCGAGGCCTGCCTCATGTTCTCCTCGAGGAAGTCATCGCTCTGAACTGAGGCCTCGTCAGCGCTCTCTGCCAGTCGCATCCCTGCCAGCAAGTCGGCGTTCACGACGCCACAGTACGCCTTGAAGATCACCTTCCAATCGTTCCACTTGTGCTCTTCGCCCGTGAACACGTCTGGCTTGCCCAGCGTGCGGGTGTCCACGAGCGACTCGGCTCGAGGCTGCGGCACAGGCCCGTCCACCCGTGGTCTAGCCTCGGCCACACGGCCGAGCCGCTGCACCTCGGCCGTGAGATCGTTCTCCCTCTGCTGGCGGTTCTGCAGCTCCTGGGCCAACGCTATCATCTGCTGCTCTAGAGCCTGCACGCGCTCCTCCGCCATCTCAGCGGCGGTTCGCGCGCAGCTTCGTGAAATCCTTCAGGTGCTGGCCCAGCGCTGCCCAGGTCCTCCTCAGCCTGAACAGCTTGCGTAGCTGCCTCGCCACTCTCCTCCAGCCTCGATGGACCTCGACGAGCTTCCACTCGTCGCCCTCGCTGGAGCTGGGCCCGGCAGGCCCTGCTGCGGCTCCCGCACCGGCGGCCGGCCCCAGGCTGCTGGGGCTCCCCGCGCCGCTGGCGGGAGAGGGAGCCGCGGAGCCCGACCCTGTGGACTGGGAGGGTCGGGACCACGGCTCCGCTACCATGGCGAGATCTTTTCTTCGGATGCTTGCCTTGAGCCATACCAGCAATGGCATGATCTCTGTCAGTAAACCTGCTGGGGGTCTCTGGATTCCTGCATTCACGGAATCCTCAAGAATCCTCCAGAAATCCGCAAGAATCCTGCAAGCCTAAGGAAGCTGAAGCAAGCTTTCCTGGTTGCACTCTGGCGTTCGCCTCGTAGGATGTCAACAGGAATCCTACACGTTGCGATCAGTCCGTTTCACTCCGCTTCCAGTGGTTGTAGTCGGTCCGAGGTGGTTCCTGAACGGTCCGCCGTGGTTGCGATGGTTGGCCGTCGACAGATCCCTGGACTTCCGGGAATCTGCGGGTGCGTACGGCTGCCTACGCCCTGGAGCGCTGTGCCCGTCGTGCGCCGCCGTCAGGGCATCGGGAGACCTCTGCACGCCCTGACCCAAGCCAGCGCGTCGCGGGATCTGTTAGCGGCGAGTGGCGCGGGGCCGCCGTAGGGGGGCCCCGCAGCGGTCCGGTCACGAGGAAGGCGGGGTCGACGGGCCCATTGAACGGGACACGTCAGCCTGTCTTCGGCAACGTGGGGGCGTACCCCGGGCAGTGTGCCCAGACGTGGTCTCCCCCTTATCTGGTGCCCCAACCGCCAGCCGCAGAACTGCTCCCCGTCGCGCGCGTCACGGAAATACGGCTGCATCTGGCAATCTTGGGCATGCTCGTCCTTGGTGTACGTTGGCATCCCGCGGTTTAGGGGGAGCTTGGTGTAGGAGCCGCCAGCCAAGGTCCCGACCCAGACATGCGACGTCCTGATTTTTTCAGGACGGCGTCCCTGGAAGTCCCGACCCTTTCCCCGGGGTCGGTTTGTCGTCCTGACTTGTTTTCTAACGGTCCCGGGGCCCGGCGAGGGCCTCTAGGGGCCGAAAATAGCGAAAAACTCCCCGTCCTGATTTTTTTTACGACGCCATCATGCCTGGGGATGCTCTCGCTGAACCCCCAGCGACCGTGATGGTGTCCTCTTGCGCCGCGCTGCCGGCTGCTGGCGATCCCCCGGCGGGTCAGCGTGCCTCCTCCCTCCTCCTCCCTCCTCCCTCCTCCCTCCTCCTCCTCCCTCCTCCCTCCTCCCTCCTCCTCCTCCTCCTCCTCCTCCTCCTCCTCCTCCTCCTCCTCCTCCTCCTCCTCCTCCTCCTCCTCCTCCTCCTCCACTGTCGTGGGCGCCGGCCGCGCGCTCGGCGGAAAAAGGCTGTCGCCGCGGGTGGCGCCGAGGCGCGGCTCCGCAACGGGGCGGCCTCCGGAGCAGCCTCCATCGAGCGAGTCCGCGTGCGGCGGTCTGTGAGAGCTGCGCCGGCTGCTGTCCGGGCCGGGCGAAAGGGGGGGATAGCAAAGGGGGGGTTTGAGAATCAGCTCACGTAGCTGATTTTCCCGGCGCCTCCCGGCGCCAGGAGGCGCCCATGTATCGAGGAAGGGGCCCCTCGGTGGGGCCGAAACCAGCTACATGCAGCAGATTTCGTAACCCCCCCTTTCCCAAACCCCCCCTTTCGCCCGACCCGAGTTGTCCTGGGGCCGCCCATTGCGGCGTCCCTGGCGCGCTGCTCGCGTCGCCGCTGGACGGGGTGTTCCCTGGGCGCGGCGGCGTCGCGGCCACCGTGGGCAGCGTGCGGGAGCGGCCTGCAGGCGATGGTGAGACCTGCTCCTTTTGCGTGGTGGTCTCTCGACGTCGTCTCTCGTCGTCGTCTTTCGTCGTTCTCGTCGTCTTTGTTGGCCATGCTCTCCTCGTCGCCCTCGTCGCCTCCTCCTCCTCCTCCTCCTCCTCCTCCTCCTCCTCCTCCTCCTCCTCCTCGTCCTTCTCCTCCTCGTCCTCCTCCTCCTGCCCCTCCATCTCTCCGCGCCTCTCCTCTCCTCAACCCTCCTCGACCCCCCTCGAATGCATCCGATACTGCCCCTGGTAAAGTGATACAGACCGCGGCAAACTGATACATTCCCCGGCGGCACTGAGGAAACAAACTGGTAGGCTTATGTGTACCCATATGGATTCCGGAGAGGCGCACGAGAAAACGTGTCAGTCAGCACGCGCGCCGTACGCAGCATCATCGTTTTGTCCTCTACCACCCGCGAGTAATACAGAACATCCTATCTGGGGTGCTTGTAGACGTAGTTGGAGTGGGACTAGCAGGTAGAGGGGTATGCGGAGTAAGAGAAGTACGAGTATG